AAAAAGGAATAACAAAGTATTAGAGCACTATTCACAAAATCAAGATAAACAGCCTTCAGAAGTGAATTTATTGAAGTCGAATGACAATTTCGCAAAATTTTCCTCCTGTTCGACCTTAACTTTTTGCTTTGCCAACAACTCTAAAATTGTTATTATATTTTTAAAAGAAATAAAAAATATGGAAGCAAATCCTTTAATCTCTGACGCTATCAGCAAAAACCAACATATAAATAATGTAGACAAAATTTAGGACAATGCTATAATATTATCTTTGAAATGATATTATTAATCATTCAGAATCTTTCAGTTCAATAATTATAATTTATAAAGCAAAAATTAAATAAATAAAAACACACCCAACAAATTTGTAAAAGCTTTAGCTGCAAATACCGCAGTGTGACCACGAATTAATTCCGAAAAACATAGAGATGAAGCCTCGTGAGAATTGAGAAATTCAGTTATCAATCTGCAAAACATTATATCTAAAATGTAGTTTCAATTTATATTTATTAAAAATAGCTTTGAGTTCAGAAATGAAATCCTAGATAATTGAGAGTAATATCTGAGGAATGTTAATGTAATTCTAAAACCGAAATTCATTTTAGCTGACTATCAATGATATTATAATTAAGTGAACTAAAAGTATCCTTAAGCCATTATGTATTAACAAATAAAAATAATACCCAAAAGATCATGAGCGCTCTGTGTTTGATAGTAATTTGGAAGGGAACTGTCATCTGTCTCCAACGTACTTTTCCTCTTACTAACTTTCAACTGAAATCGATCCTGCATCACTGAGATCTTTGGAATATTCCGCTCATTTTGATATTCTTCTTGACGTATTTCACATTCAGAATATCTCTCATCTATAATAACTCTTTTCTTTTTAATTCATAAATATGTACATTTAATGCTTTTAATCTAGAATAAAACCATAACTAACATAACTAGAATAAATCCATAACTAACACATGTGGTTTACTTCAATTATGAGAAAACATACCAACAAGAATATTTTCAGTGCTACTTTCCAGTTTCGTCCCACGTAATTCAGATTCTAAAAATTATAAATTAAAGTCGAAAAAGAAAAAAACTGACTAATTTGTGACTTATTATAAATATGAAGAAAAATCTACTATAATGATCAACATTAAAGATTCTGTTACACTTACCAATCGTCAAATTTGAAAATAAATCTGTCACTCGCGGTTTTTCCGCTAACAAAGTGAAACTGTCATCCATACGCTACAAATTAAAAAGTGATATTATCAATTATAAATTATGCAGATGAGATATCTAGGATAATTCCTACACTTAGATTGAACTTTAGTAAAACTTTTCTTTCTGAAAAGGATTTGCTTTTCCAAAAGTTCTATAATTTATTAGCGATTGCTATCAATTTGAGCAGCATATTGTAATATGAAAGTAGCAATAATTGGATATTAGAATACTACAGAATGTTTATTTTAGAAGATCTAAGCATGTGCAAAAAAAATCGTTGAAGATTGACCAGTTGATTGCAGTCAGAATTTAGTGTAATCTTAGGTACGAATAAATTAATCGAAATAGATTAATAGCCATAAACAGAGAAATATCTAACGTCTAATTATATGATTATCAGATGATATGTTTGAAATAATTGGGTAGTTTTTGAAACATAATAATTGATAGCAATTACTTAGATATTCGCAATTTTTTTTTCTTTTTTCCTTTAATTTTTGAATTTATACCTCCTCTTCAGCAGTTCTTTCAAAAATGGTAGCCACGGATATTTTCATTTTCTCATCAGCTAGTCGATTTTCGCTAGAGGCAACAGGTAATCCACCATCTGATCTAAGCTGTGATGAAGGATCGGTAGTGGTACGCTGAAATGATTCGACATTTGAAACAATTCATATGATAACAATTACAATCAACAAATAAGAAATATTTAAAGCAAAATCTTTGGTATTTGGAATATTGTACAAAAAATGCTCTTGAAATGTCTAATTCTAACGTATTACAATTTTTTGTTCTTTTTTTCTCTTTTCTTCTCTCAGAAGATGCTGTCAAAAAAAAAATTCTGGCATAAAATTATTAAATTAATCTGACGAGAAATGTTGAGACTGATTGTTGAAATAATGCTGATATCCTATATGACAATTTAGAAATTATGTAATATAATTAATTATTACTACATACTGTGCTACCAAAAGGTGCCGTGGAAGTGGTATTTCGTCGTCCTTGCTCAATATCCTCCATCACTGGTGTAACAGTTTGTCGTTCCAGATCTTGCAGATTAATTTTTACGGATTCATGTGATGTAGAATCGGTTAATGTTTCTCTTCCATCTGAAAAATGATGTAACGTTCGCATTGGTGGCGCCTGCATTGGTTCTAACTGCATTGCATCTTTATACTGAAGTGGTGGCTCATCATATTCCGGTGCTGATATCCATGCATCCAAATTTGACATAGGATTTTTCGCAAATTCTGCAACAAATTCTTATGAAATGTTTTTTCTTTTTTAATTTGGAAGATTAAATGAATCGCGTAAATTCTTATTAAAAGATTTTTCAAATTTCATAATTCTACATAAAACCAATGTTTGAACCTTAATTAATTTTCAATTTTTTATAGCAATGAATATTGTCTAATAATGAGTTCTAAAGTACAATAAGTTATGGTTTCTTCTAGTAATCATAACATTATAACATTTCATGAATATGTTTTAAGGAATACAATAAATAATTACAAAAACATTATCACTCAAAAAAGAGAAACTGTCAAGTTAAAGAGAGTCACATTAAATTAAAACAACAGAATCAGTGACAAAAATTTCACCACGTAATGTCATTGGACGAACATTAAATAAATCTTGAACTGTTACCGCTCCACGTTTTGATATTTGAGGAATCATTTCATCACGTGTATGCAACAGGTCATCAATACAATCAATCTGAGCTTGAAGTTGTGCCTGAAACATTTGAGAAATATTTAATTTGTTAAAGTAATTTTTTCGATTTTATTGGAAAATATAATAAAATCAACCTTATTGAACATTGTTAATTCATCAATAATGATGCCATTCTTGCGGCGTTTCTTTTTGGAATTATGATTTGTGAGTCATGAACATCACTCAATTCAAGTATCTAAAAACAAAGTTGAATTAAGGTAATGAATTCTGAAATAATATTTCAAAATTATCCCTTAAATATTACTACTAAAGAAAATAAACACTTATATGATATTGCAGTAGTCGAAATGAATTGTATCATAATTTAAAGTATATTTTCCTTATTTTTTTTTCTTCGTAACTATGTTGAATGAAATTCTTGGCAAGGAAAGCTAAAACTAAAAGATTGATATATCTCTAAATTAAATCGTTAAACAAAAAATGAAGCATAATTATCATATAAATTTACTGATAAGCATGGTGGATGCTTGATTTCTGGTTCTTGTAAAGCTTCATCAGATGTTAAATCGTATTGCCTCTCTTTACGAATCTCGTTTTCGTCGCTTACTTCCATCATTTCAAATGCCTATTTTATAACAAAATTAATAATTTTACATCATAAGCAAATCTTACTTTTTCATCTATAATAAAGAGATTTTTACAAGAATAGAACTTTTTTAAATTTCTCTGCATTAGATCATCTCGATCTATTAGCATAGAAAACTTTTACTTCATGTGTCGCTTTATTAACATCTGCCTCATTCGCTAATGTTTCAGGAATTATATTCACAATTTCTTTGGATTCATTTATGCTTTTTGATTTTCTTTCAATATGCTCGCTATCGTCTTTCAAAAGAGCTTCCCTGATAAATAAAATGAAATTTGCAATTAGAAAAAAGCTTACTGAAATATCTTATTAATTAATTGATTAAAAATAAAAAAAGAATTACAATTATAGAAATAAATAAACTGATAGTTTAATTCTTTACAAGACCTGAAAGCTGATAATATTCTTACAATTAATTAAAAATGATTTAATTATGAATGGAATTTTTAAACAGTTAATTACATTTGTTGAGCTTCAGCTTCAGTTAGTGGTCCAAAATCATCATTAAACAGAGTGTCAATTTCTGGAAGTGGTATATCTTCATGTAATGTAATTGCGCTGTAATCGAGTACGATCTTCAAATGTTCACTTTCCTTTAAAATATAAAATCATTTTAAAGTGAAATAAAAAAGTTTATATGTATACATCATATTTTAAATAAAGTTAATGAGATGATATTACTAGAAAATTTTAAAAAAATTTTGCATTATACTTCATAAAGACTAAGTTCTTAGAAATGATCAATGACAGAAATAAAATCATAAAAATGAAAGAAGTTCTTACAATAGTCTCAAATGAAGAATCCAAAATAAGAAAATCATTTCGTTTTGATGCACGTTTCTTCCGATCTTACCTTTCATAGTAGATCTGTAACAGTTCAAAATTTATATTTCTAAAGAAAAAAAAGAAAGAAAAACGCAATATTTAATTTTATTTCCTAAACATTATAACAGAAAATAACGACCTAAATCAGAACCAAAAAAGATAAGAAAATTATTTAAAATAAAAGAAAAAACACACTCATCTTCATTCTCATATTGATAGCGGCGTATAATTGGAATAAATGTTTCCATATCTCCTGAATTATAAAATATTTCAAAACTAATATTCATTAATCACTTTATGCAAAAAAAAAGTGATATTTTCCAAAAATCTAATTGCACAAACTTACTGCATAGAATATCTCCGCGTTTTTGTACAATTAACGCAATGCCATAAGAAAGTTGTGCAAGTAGATAGAGAGAAAATTTAATTTCACCCGGATTACCATTTGGTATTTTTCCAATCAAAAGTTCGCAAAAAAAAAAAAAAAAAACCAATCAATTACTATTCACAAAACCAAACAATAAAAAGTTACTGAAATACATTCGTATCTTCCAGCTCTCTTTGTACCATAAATTCAAATTCATATGATTTTTGATAATATTAATAAACAAGAATAAAATAATAATAATGATTATAACCTAACCAAGCCCTTTCTATATTTATCTCTAAAATAATTTTTCGTGGTCGCCATTTCTCATCAAATACAATTCGCCTGAAAATATGTGAAACTATTGATTTAAATGTGTCACATCTCTTACCAGTTGTAAGAATTCACTAATAAAGTAAGAATTCATTGAATCATAAATTCATATGATATAATTAAGCTAATATCAATTGAAAAACAATTCGTTTAAAGATGAAATTAATCACAAATAGTTGTGAAATTTTATGGATTACTAAACCATAAATTCATATTTAACTTTGATAATACAATTAGTATAAAATTTTAACAAATATTATTAATTTGCTTTCATAACAGTACTATCATTCTTATATTACTACTAATTATTGCTTTTCTAAAATTAAACTCTGATCCAAAATTTTAATGAATTTTAATTTTCAAGTATTATTATCGTTTTGAAATTAAATTCTTCATAAAATATATATACAAAATTATTGTGAAATCAAAACCAATTAAGTATTAATTAAAGATTAAGTATTTCAAATTAGTTTTAACTATAACTATAAATGTTATCATTTACAAATAAAAATTCAATAACAGTACAATATACTACAATACGTAACTTTCTTTAGAATAAAATTATTAAATGAACTAACCAAATGACAGATAATGGTTTATTCCTTTTCATCAATATGGAAGGTATAAAGAACATTTTATTTGATGAAATATCCCGTAGTTCTGTTGATAATTAACTGTAGATTATTAATAATGATAGATTATTAGTAAGAATTATATCTAGAAAGAAATCATTTTTATTATAATTAATAATTCCTATGACAAATAATTAAAATATGAAGAAATAATACAGTAAAATAATTTAATTTATTGAATATATCTCATATATCGCATCTGATTCATATAATCGATTATTTCATCAGAATTAAATAATAAAACTTATAATTAAACTTAATGTGTAAGTATTAAATTGAGAGAACATAGACTGAAGTAAAAGTAAAGGCAGAGTTAAAAATCAATAATATATATAGTAATAATAACAAAGAAATTAAGTGAAGCAAGATTTAGTTCAAAAAATTAATTTAAGTATTTCATTTCAATTTCATTCCAGTCATTTATTTCATCTCATCAGCTAATCAGTAATGAGTTCAATTTATTAAGTTTCAAAGAACCAAATCAAAAAAAAAAAAACTCAATTAAGATTGTAATTAATTTTATTAAATTTCAAATAAATTGCATTAAATTTTAATTTAATTGATAATTTAACTAAATCAGTGGTATAAGTAATAAGTAGTATTGTAATACAAATAATTAACATGTTACAAAATCAACACAATCTATCATAAATTTGTTTCGTTTTTTTTTTTTTTTTTTTTTTTATTGAAATTGCAAAGAAAAAAGAAAACTACAAATAATAATTACAATTCTTTCGAATATATAAATAAAATAAAATAAATTTCGAATATGTAAGTGAAATATGTTAAGAATTTTAAATTTCAAGTCAAACAAAAGGACTCAATAAAGATACCAGTTGCAGTGAATTTGAAAAAAAAAATTGCAACAAATTTCGATTTAATTAATAACCCAATTAATTAATATGAATTAAACTAAAGATTGGAATGTAAAAGATACAAATAAATTAGAAAGGAAAAAGGGGAATAGTTACTCTCTCTCTCTCTCTCTCTCTCTCTCTCTCTCTCGATAAGCAATGAGTATTCATAATTGGTTGTAACCGCCTCCATTATTACTGTATTATTTTTAACACCATCCTTTCGTTTATAATTAAGCAATCAGTATGTGTTTATTATTAGATTATATGGAAAAGAAAATCTTTAAAATGGTCGAGAATCCTCGAGAATGGGTTGTTACAGTAAGAAATGAGTAAAGGATGAGATGATTACTGTAACCTGTAGAGGATGAAGAAATTATCAGGTGGCAATCATTGATAGTAATAATTTATATGCTATTTACAATACGTAATTAATGAATAGAAGTAAAGGTGATAATAATTACTGTAACCTGCGGAAGGTAAGGAAATTATCATAATAGTAGTAGTGATGGAATAGGTAATAAATAAATGAATGAATGATGATGACTACTGTAACCTGTAAAAGGTAAGGAAACTATCATATAATAATCACTAATAGTAGAATAAGTAATAAATGAACAGATGATAACGATTACTGCAACCTGCAAAAAGTAAACATGCATTTTTTTTTTTTAACAATAATAATAATCCATTAATAAATAGCAACAATAATTTCAATTCTCAATCATATAACACTAATTTTTAAGTTAAAAATTAGTAAAATTAATTGCTTAATTACATTCACCATTAGATCACCATGAATTTCTTTCTGTAAACTGATTTTGCACTTATTTTAGCAAATTAATAAAATTGAAATTAATTTTAAGTAGAAAAATTACCTTCACATAAATGTATATTGTTGATTTCCTGAGTTGTTGAATTATTACTAAGAATATAACATTAAGTAAATTGTTTCACGGATGCCGGAATAGTACTGTGATATGATAAGAAAATAATAACACATCACAATTCAATTCAGGTGATCCGAAAACCAATATTTTAAGTTGTTGAAATTAGAAAATGAAAAAAAAAAAAACATTTGACAGAATCAAATAATATATAAATATTATAGGGATGAAATATGATGATGATTAGGGCGTAAAAATACAAAGAAATGGCGGTTTATGTCATGATTGAATGGACATTAATATAAAAAGATAGGAATAGAAAGAGAGAGAGAGAGAGAGGGAGAGAGAGAGAGAGAGAGGGAGAGACTCTTTCTCTTTCTGTTCCTTCAAATGCAGTCAAATTACTTTTCTTCGATTCTCTCAGCAATGGACTGCTTCTATTGCTATTGAACAATGAGCGGGGCAGTCTAGTCGCACTGCTCGAACGTGCAATTTTTAAAAATGACAATTTTCCGCTTACAGTAACCCAAGGGACTAACTAACATGTATTTTAATAAAATGAACGTATCACTTTTAAGAGGGAAAGAGCAAAATATGTATTAATTTATTCATCTTGCTTCCACTAAAATAAGTATTTGCCTGAGTAATATACGATAATGTGACATTAATGTAGTTTTGAGAAAGATTTAAAAAACTTTAATGAAATACTTCATCTTAATAAAGCATATCGGATGTAACTTGATAAGTGATAGCTAATGATTCTGACATCACTTGATAAGGATAGCTAGTGATTCTGATATCATTTGATAAGGATAGCTAGTGATTCTGATATCATTTGATAAGGATAGCTAGTGATTCTGATATCATTTGATAAGGATAGCTAGTGATTCTGATATCATTTGATAAGGATAGCTAGTGATTCTGATATCATTTGATAAGGATAGCTAGTGATTCTGATATCATTTGATAAGGATAGCTAGTGATTCTGATATCATTTGATAAGGATAGCTAGTGATTCTGATATCATTTGATAAGTGATAGCTAATGATTCTGACATCACTTGATAAGGATAGCTAGTGATTCTGATATCATTTGATAAGGATAGCTAGTGATTCTGATATCATTTGATAAGGATAGCTAGTGATTCTGATATCACTTGATAAGGATAGCTAGTGATTCTGATATCATTTGATAAGGATAGCTAGTGATTCTGATATCATTTGATAAGGATAGCTAGTGATTCTGATATCACTTGATAAGGATAGCTAGTGATTCTGATATCATTTGATAAGGATAGCTAGTGATTCTGATATCATTTGATAAGGATAGCTAGTGATTCTGATATCATTTGATAAGGATAGCTAGTGATTCTGATATCATTTGATAAGTGATAGCTAATGATTCTGATATCATTTGATAAGGATAGCTAGTGATTCTGATATCATTTGATAAGGATAGCTAGTGATTCTGATATCATTTGATAAGGATAGCTAGTGATTCTGATATCATTTGATAAGGATAGCTAGTGATTCTGATATCATTTGATAAGGATAGCTAGTGATTCTGATATCATTTGATAAGGATAGCTAGTGATTCTGATATCATTTGATAAGGATAGCTAGTGATTCTGATATCATTTGATAAGGATAGCTAGTGATTCTGATATCATTTGATAAGGATAGCTAGTGATTCTGATATCATTTGATAAGGATAGCTAGTGATTCTGATATCATTTGATAAGGATAGCTAGTGATTCTGATATCATTTGATAAGGATAGCTAGTGATTCTGATATCATTTGATAAGGATAGCTAGTGATTCTGATATCATTTGATAAGGATAGCTAGTGATTCTGATATCATTTGATAAGGATAGCTAGTGATTCTGATATCATTTGATAAGGATAGCTAGTGATTCTGATATCATTTGATAAGGATAGCTAGTGATTCTGATATCATTTGATAAGGATAGCTAGTGATTCTGATATCATTTGATAAGGATAGCTAGTGATTCTGATATCATTTGATAAGGATAGCTAGTGATTCTGATATCATTTGATAAGGATAGCTAGTGATTCTGATATCATTTGATAAGGATAGCTAGTGATTCTGATATCATTTGATAAGGATAGCTAGTGATTCTGATATCATTTGATAAGGATAGCTAGTGATTCTGATATCATTTGATAAGGATAGCTAGTGATTCTGATATCATTTGATAAGGATAGCTAGTGATTCTGATATCATTTGATAAGGATAGCTAGTGATTCTGATATCATTTGATAAGGATAGCTAGTGATTCTGATATCATTTGATAAGGATAGCTAGTGATTCTGATATCATTTGATAAGGATAGCTAGTGATTCTGACATCACTTGATAAGGATAGCTAGTGATTCTGATATCATTTGATAAGGATAGCTAGTGATTCTGATATCACTTGATAAGGATAGCTAGTGATTCTGATATCATTTGATAAGGATAGCTAGTGATTCTGATATCATTTGATAAGGATAGCTAGTGATTCTGATATCATTTGATAAGGATAGCTAGTGATTCTGATATCATTTGATAAGGATAGCTAGTGATTCTGATATCACTTGATAAGGATAGCTAGTGATTCTGATATCATTTGATAAGGATAGCTAGTGATTCTGATATCATTTGATAAGTGATAGCTAATGATTCTGACATCACTTGATAAGGATAGCTAGTGATTCTGATATCATTTGATAAGTGATAGCTAATGATTCTGACATCACTTGATAAGGATAGCTAGTGATTCTGATATCATTTGATAAGGATAGCTAGTGATTCTGATATCATTTGATAAGGATAGCTAGTGATTCTGATATCATTTGATAAGTGATAGCTAATGATTCTGACATCACTTGATAAGGATAGCTAGTGATTCTGATATCATTTGATAAGGATAGCTAATGATAAAAATTAGAATGGGATAGTACTATGAGTAACTGTAATTAAAATAGTTGAAAAAGAATTCTTCCTCAATATTTAAAATGGTTTATTTCAGATTGATTAATGGTTTTTTTTTTTATCAAAAATTTTTTTTGCTACTTCTAGTAATTGTTTCTATTATATTTCTCAAATCAGTCAATTCCGCAAGAATATTTGTAGCATAGATAACATAGTCGGGAAATTTTCCAAGAGTGATAAGTTAGTTAGCAATTAGCTACTGGGACGATACTATTTCACATTAACACAATGGAAGTAGTACAAAAATGATGGAAATTTATTGATAATTTGTTTCAGGGATTGTTTAAGTGATATGTACGACTAGCTGTGGCTTAATTCTTAACTTTTGGTATATACAATGATAAGTTAGAAGTTACAATGTGATTGTAGCACTTCTTTTTCGAATGTTTTCAAAATGTTAAATAATAAAAACGAGGATATTTTATGAATGAATATAACATACTTGATAAGATTTATCATCCTGAAATGAATGATATTGAATATCTGAAATTAGTTAATTTTAATTTAAGCTAGTCTCTTGACAGGATGACATCATTGGAGAAACAACTGAATAATCTGCGTACAGCAGTTAGTGGACAACTTGGAGTGGAACGACCACATGTATCATTGCTTTTTGATAAGAAAGAAGCGAGCTCATTATATGTGGAAAATGCATTACAAATCGGTAAGACATTTTTTCTCTGCACATTTTTCAAGATTTTTATTTAAGTTTAAAGTTGACTGTAAACTACAGAAAATTCAAATATTTCTACTGTGGTCAATTTTTTTCATTGACTTCTCAAATTGTACATCTGTATGCCAAATATGTCTTTTAAGTGGCATGGTAAAGGAAGGTAAACTTTTATTTGTTTATTTTTATTTTACTGTTCAAAGACTTTGAAAGTAGTCCACTGGTAATGCTACTAGCAGTTTAGAATTTCCTATTATTAGTTGATACGATACGACAAGTTTTTGCATTTCTTTGAAGCTTTGCAGGCTCTATTTTCTTATATTTCAACATTATTCAACTATTAAGACCGGATAGGATATTGTTCCAGTTAGATATGATTTTTTGCAATCAGAATTCCAGTGTTTTTTTTCTAGTTTTTCTTGTTTTTAATCTCTCTCTTTCAGTCTCTTTTTTTTTTTCTGATTAGAGTAAATTGCAGGGCGTGTCGGACTAGCAGGACTACGAAAAGTTGATCCGAAAATTGCCCTCAAAGAAGAGGACCTATTTGACGATGGAGCGGTTAACGTGCAACGTTTACTTCTGACAAAAGAAGAGAATATGGTGCTTGACGAGAAACTTGAAAGAATGATCATACAGCTTTCTGCTTACTTGCATCATCTATCAGCTAAGCAGATCCTGGAGTGGTTGATATTTCAATTTCATGTAAGTGTTATTCCTGATGTTACTTCTCTTTAACGCATTATTTCGTGAATTCTTGAGCTATGCCATATTTTCAATCAACAATTTGAAGAAACTGTAATTGTTAATTTACTTTATCTTAAGAATAGTTCATATCTTTAAAAGGAACAATACGATTATTTTGGGAGGAAAAATCGTTCACATAAAAAGCAATAAATATTATGTGTCACTAATCTTCAAAATTAAAAATGAAAGCGTCTATTTGATGAAAATGCGATCCAAAATGATTTACGATTTGCTTATGTCTCTTTGGAGGTTAAAAGATGAAATTGCTTGCAGAATATTTGATCTTTAAAAAGTACAAAACGTGAAAGTTGTCTCAAAAGATATTAAACGAAACTAGAAAATAAAGATTCTTTGGGAGAAAGTTATGGATTCAGTGTCTTGTTGAAATTCTTAATATTCAGTAATACTTTGTACAAAGGCAATCTTATAAACGTAAACAAAAGTTTCATTTGATATCTTGAGTGATTCAAATAAAAACTTTTTTTACGATTTGCTTATGTTTCGATTTTCAGCAGTTTGTTTTATAAAATTCATTTTAAATTTAGGTGCAAAGTTTCAATGCCGAAACATTATTTATTGCTTTCTTACCATATCACAATTCGAATATCTTTGGGCGATTGCTGTCAATACTCGATTTAAAAGGATTGGAATATGACTGGATTAAGGGTTATGCCAGTTCAGAAGCACCTATTCCAATGACAAAATTAGTCGTCATTTGTACTTCAAGAAATCACTCATTGCTCAGTCTTATACATAACCATATTGAGCGTGTCAGAGAGGCTAGATTTTCATTTATTTTCTTTATAATTTTTATGGTTTATGCAACTCGTTTTTGCTGTGTAAGTGGTTCAGTTAGGTTGATTGAGATTTGATCAATTTTAAAGTATTTCAAATACGAATAAAACCAATTGAGAAATTAATTAGAAAATATCTATTACAGAAATCTATTTGATACTGGTGCAGTTGACATAAGGTGGGAGAGATAGATCTACATAATTGAATAATCTCTTTTACTTTTCTTCCTGTCTGTTACACTGTTGAAAATGATCAGAAGTCTTACCAACAATGTTTGACGTCCACTGTGGAACTCTTTACATACAGATTAAACGATCTAATTAATGAGAGTTTCAAGAGTTTAATTCTTAAAAATAATTCTTGGAACAGTGTTCTATAAAGGTTATCAGTTTGTTATGGAAAATATAAAGGAATTTAAGGAATCTATTTTATCTGCATTTTACTTCAGCTATTCAATGCGAAGTTTGTTGAAACTAAATTGCCACATTTATTCACTTTTTATGCTTCAATCTGTGTACATCTTTTGGCAAAATCCGATGTAACGGATGCTTTAGTTTCGAAAATGTTGCCTTTCCTAGCCAGAGGCTTAACGTAAGTTCATATATTTTGATTCATTTTTATTGGCAAAATCATGTATGTTTTATAGTAACTGAACCGCTACTTAAAAGTTATTTTTGTGGTTTGAATTATATTCTAACTTTTTACGATATGGGATTGATCAATAATTTCATTACATTTAGTAGCTTCCCGAATTATATCTATATTTTTAAAAATTTTTAAGATAAGTTACTTCTAGGTCAGATTTAGTTTCTCTGCGGTTGGCATGTCTTACTGTAATATGCCAGCTTTGCACAAATGTAAAATTGGTCTCCAACAAGCTTGATCCAATGATTAAACTTATCTTACTAAAAATGGACAATTATACGATGAAGGAATCAATTGACACTTTGGTAGTCATTTATCAGCGTCAAGAAATAACTACTTTCCCACTGACGTGAGTTTCTTTATCTTTTCCGTGATATTACATTTGAGATAGTTTGGGATTTTAATGTATTAAGGCAGTTAAATTGGTGTGTTGGGATCCAGCGAACTCTCAGTGTATCTCATAATACTGTCACTTTTTCATGTTCTTATAATAAAAATTTTTTAAACTTTCAGATTGAAGACCGCTTTAAAAATTGCCAAAAAGGATGGATCCCTACATATTTCAGAATACATAAATTCCTTATTTTCTATTACGGATATGCGGAAATTTATTGGAGCATTTGCACATACTTTTATTCCATTGCTTTCAGAATGTGGTAATTTCTTACTGTTTAGTTTTTCTTCCATTTTACGGTTCTTATTGACTCACTCAAGCCTGTATTTGCATAGGTATACAATCTTCAGAGTCTGTGTTATTCGAATAAAAGAAAAGTGAAATTTTTTTTTTCAGGTGAATTTTCTTTTTTGATATTTAGAATGTGAGCTTTCGAGTGTTTTATTATTTATTCATAGATAAGGAAGAAAAAGTGATAGAATTGTGCAATTTCTGCATCAATTGCTTGGATTTAACCGCACTGAACGATTGCATGTCCGAAATAATCCTGAGTTTGGTATTGGAATTACTATCAGAAGTGAATAATGCTGAGAAAATTTCGGATACTTTTTACAAGCATATACGTGCTTTGGTATTTAGGTTTGTTTCTTTTGCTTGATTTGGACGAAATATTCTCATTTTTTGTAATGTTTTAAGATCCGATTTTCACTTTTCTATATTAATATTAGTTAAAAAGATACATATTAATGCAGTACCATCATTTAGTGAAAAATAATGGAACCATTATTTTTCGCTTTTAGTCAAAGAATGGTTTTAAGATGATTTGCAGTTAATTTAAAAATATTACTTACATTGTCAATATGGTGTTATGTATTGTTAGAAGATATGTTACTCTAAAATCAATAATCTTTAAATCAAGTTTCAGAATATATAAATACTTTCTGGCATAGATTCCAACTGTTTTAGTTCAATAGTGTTGTGTAGCATAGGCTTGTATAGTGCTTATTATAGTATGATTTTAGATTTCCGAATGCTTTTGCAACAGTCAGCTCGGAGTGGAAAGTGCGCGATCAGAGCGTTTATAATATGTTGCTGAAAGCCTGTAAATTTGAACAGTATGAGGTATTACTGTTAATTTGTAAAGCATTTATGTGTTTAATTTTTCTTATTTCTCCCTGATTTCGTTGTCTTCATTCTTTCAAAATTAATGATTAACTAATTCACTTTTTCACCTAACGGGTAGGATTGTAATTTACTTTTTAGATAAAAGCATTCGAAGTGGTTCCAATAGAAAAAAAGCGACGTCGACGTCGTAGCAGCAATAAAAGTAGTACAGGTGAAGAAAGTAGTCAATCTTCATCTCATATTTCCAAACCTGCATTGAAAAGAAAACGGCCAGAAGAAATTAAGGTAATAATCGGGATTTATATTTGCTTTGATTATTATTTATCGTTAACTAGACACTTGCAGTCTAAAATTTTGTAAGTGACTGCTAAAATATTTTTATTGATAGTGATTTTTAGCAAGAGCAATTGAATTCAGTTCGTGAACCGCCCAAAATCATATTCAAAGGTGATCCAGTAGATAAATTGATTGATATAATTAAAGCCGAAGACTGGCCTCTTGCTGAAGCAGGTCTAGAGGTAGGTATTTTGTTTTCGTTTTATAGTTCGTGTGAGTTCTAAAATTTGCTGAAGATAGTGTCGTTGTAAAAGTTCAATATTATTGGACATAGAGATGTAACTTAAAAGCATTTTCTAACACCAAACTAAAAAAATTGAGAGAAATCCATGTTATAATCAGTGAATCGTGAAATCTATCTCAACATCCGAATTGTTACGCTGCTAACAAGTATATGATATGTCTTTTAAGTCCATTGTTCTTTTAGTGGCATTTGGAGCAGTTAGATGAGGAACTAAAATTATGACAAAATGATAGCTCTGTATTATTTTTATGCAATTCAGGTTTTTGTTTCAGAAATTAACTACTCCTTCTTACTTGAGAAACCGGATATCGTCTGACTTTGAAATTTTTTTCTCAAAAATGGTCGCTATTGTACTAGCAGAAGGAGCGCGCCTGAAAACTGCAATAAAAAGGCTTTATCACAAGTAAGTCGAAGAATTTGTCAACAATTTAAAATTAAGAACTGGCTAATTCACGGTTAGGAGAATTAGGATTGTTTTTGAGAGTTTTCATTAATCTTACTCAAATTCTGATAATGTTGTCGATAATAAATTGTTGTCGAATAATGGCCCTCAAGAAGTGTGAAAATGTTTTCACTTTTCACTAATCTAGAATTTTCGAACTCAGCTGTTTTTGTACTATTTTCAATTTTTTATAGCTGCCGATGGATTCTGATTTTGCACTTTCTTTACTGAAACCTTATACGGAATCGAAGAATGCTAGGCGAAATCGTGATATATGTCATTGGTCTTGCTTTAAAGACGAAGATACTCAGAAATTTGAAAATAGACGTCTTTTTGTATTGGAGTTATTGCTTATAAATCATAATCTGCAAGCATCGGCTAAACTATTCCATCAACTCTATGAAATTTTGAAGGGGTGAGCCATATTTTCAACATCAGACTTCTTTGAAAATACTCAGTATCGAAAATATTTTTGAAAGTGATTTTCTGAATTTTCTGAAAGGTCATTTGTGCTCAATATTAGATGACCTTAGTTTCATTTTTGATAACTAGAATGATTTTCTTGGAATAACTATGAGATACATAATGATCGATTATGAAGTAGCGGAAGGCATTATTGGCCCAATTTTTGGTAGGAAAAGAAAGTTGTGCTCAAATTTGATTTATAGAGTTATGCAGAAAACTGACGAAGACAGTCACTATTTGGAGCAGCTTATTATCAATTTCATCGTATCCTTGGTAAAAATCCTCGTCAGTTTATTTTTTTTTTTTTTTTTCGTTTTTTATGAATATCTTCACAACATAAGCTGAACAAGTGGACAATATATGTAAAAGTAATGTTTTAACTTCAGTACAAAATTATATCTGATTTCTGATGATCTTTTCAGCTCTATTTTCATTTATCTTTATAATATTTCTTATCGTTTCAGCTTAACAAAACATCATTATCCTATTTCATGTAATTTCTGATTATCATTTCTCTTTCTATCAAGTATCAACTTACAACACCGTTTTAATTTTATATAAATCGAATTGTACTTTTAGGTGGTTATAAGGTGTTAGCTGATGATTTACAACTAGATACAATTGTTGATATTGTTCGTCACACTCACAATCATCGAATTCTTCGAGATTGCTTGCAACTGCTTACATGTGCTGTGACTGTTTCGCCTGTAGGTTTCCAAAGTTTATTATCAAAACTCTCTCTCAAAAAAGAGAAATTTCAAAAGTTAATATTGAAGGGTTAAACCAATAGGGATTTTTGGTGTAATTCCGTTTTGCAGAAAAAAGTGTTGGCACATCTGATGTCTGTTTATACATTTATGGGTGATGGAGTACTAAAGAAGGATAACGATTTAACATTGAGTGTAATTGAGGAGACGCTGAATGTGTTATTTTCGACTGTTATGAATGAAAAGGTTGTGTTCCTGAAGTTTTTATATTATGGGAGAAACCTTCCAACGAGAAACTTGCATAGAAAAAAAATTCCCTAGTAAAAACTTAAGAGTTTGATTCTATATTCATGTATTGAATTTTTTTGAAAATTTCAAGAATCTAATCAGGATTATTTCCAGGATCAGTCATTTCGCGAACAATTAGTAACAATTTCTCGGCTATTTGCGGCATCGATTACTGATATTCCAGCACACCGACGTGATAGAATTTTACGTGCTGTAGCTCGATCTGCAGGAACGCATTATCTTTGGGCAGTGATTGCCGTTCTTTTTGAGCGGTACTGTCTGAATTGGGCTAAAAACCAGAAGGTTTGTTACAAGTAAAATATATCTTTGATAAAAAGTGTGAGTTCGTATTTCTTGAATTTATGTTGGATGATGTTGCAAACATCCAAAGTGGAATGTGACATATATCTTTTCGTATGTTTTATATATAAATATATATATATGTATCAGTCATTTTATATATGTATCAGTCACTTTATATATGTATCATTGAGTGCTATCAGATTTGAATTGTTCAGTTCAACTTCGTAAATATTAAACATGTAGTTTGCTCATCAGCTTGTTCCATTTCGCAGTAGATAGCAGATTTCAGGTCGAACTTCAACTGAGTTATATGAGGAAATGTCAACTATAATGGTATCGGAATATGATGCTGTGGAACAACTTTCATGCACAGCAAATATGATAAAATATATTATCAAATTAGGAGGTGATTTCTCAGTTTATGAAAGCTCAGCTGCAACCGTTACTCAGAAGGAGAATTTTTTGTTAAAAATCTTCGATCGAACGAAACATTCAGTTCAAAAATTGCGACACTATCGTTTTGCAATATTGGGTTGGATTGCTAGGCTTTTAGAAAGTGATGAATTTAAAACAAAGGTAATACATCTCTTGCTTAAGTAATTTTTTTTTTTGTTTTATTTTTCTTTTTTATTTTGAGAATTTCATGAGTTATTTATGCAAAAAAATAAAGCTTTTGCTGATCACAAAAACCTGTTTTCTTTATTGTTCGGAATGAAATAATTGGAAGTAACTGTTTCTTTTTTTTCAATTTCAGTTAGTAGCTGTTGGTGATAACTCATATAACAGACTTCTTGAAACTGCTAAAGTTCTTCTGTTTTGTTCCGTTGAACTTGACGATTTCATCACTGTGGAGGCATCAGATGCTGAGAAAGGTAATGCACAAGGAAGTTCAGACCAGCAGAACGCAAATAATTGCAAATATTGGATTGCCGTTTCATCACGTGCAGATATCGTCATTGAAAAGGTTCATCCAGACATTATGAATTTAACGTATGTGAATAAATGGAAAAAAAAAAAAAAAACGATTTTCTAAAGAAATTCTTGTAGTTCTAGTAATCAAAAATTCCATTTCAGTTTCAAAATTTGCTGCCGAGTAATGTTTGTGGGCATATTGTCGCGGATGTTTTGGAGCAAACTGCAACCATGCCAAAATTAAGGGATCGAGCGTTACAGTTTCTGAACGCTAAACTGCTACAAGATGGTTCATATATACGTACGGTGAAAGTGGATCACTTGAATAGCTTGATTACAAAATTTAACTCTTGGTTAAAACCAATTGAAGAAGGATTTGATGTAAGTTTATTTTGATATTAGAAATTTGATATTGTGTCATTTTCATATCATTGCTTTCTATTCGTTATTATAATAATGATAACTACAGAGAAGTGAATAGAATGGATTTTGTAATTCTACTGCTAATTTTATTTCAGGTTGATCTTTGCCAGAAAGCAGCTCATACATTGAAACTGGTGGCACGTAATATGACACCTTCAGCAGGTTTCATGTTGTTATCTGAAACACTAGAATTAACTGTGGAATTGGTAAGTTCCATTTTGTACTTCAAAAATTTTTCTGTGACACAAAATTTTGAAGTTAGAAGACTGCTTAATAGTTTGAATAGAAAATAAGCTCAATCTGGAACTGCTGAATACCGTAGAATTTAAATTTAGAACTACTTAATTGTTAAATTTTTTTTTCATTTGCATTTAAGTCTTTCTGTTTTTAACATATATTTGCAGCTCACTAATCGTGATATGCACGATGAAGCGGTGATAGGTAGCTTACTTTTATTAGCTGGTGAATTAATGCGCTTTCAACGCGTAAAAAATTCCATTCTATATGCAAATGCTCTGACGACAGTCTGTACTGAAATTCTTTTTGCTGTACTTGAAACACAAAATGTGATTGGAACTAGTAGTCAACAGCAGGCTAATCTGTCAAAAGATGGTATTTTATCCGCGCGAAGACGTCGCATCCAACACTCAATGAGTGGACGCTATGTTTGTAAGTTATAGTTTTAGTTTTGATTAATATTTGCAGACAGTTTCAAATGTAAATTTAGTGATTTGAAGAGAGAAAAGAAACAGATTTTAGTTTTCATTTTTTCTTTCATTATATTTTTTATTATTTTTATTGGATACTTTTTTTTTTAAATTAATACTTATTTAAAAACTCAATCTTCAAAATGCTGCACTTTAAATTTTCAGCAAGCACTGACGCACTATTAATTTGTTCACTGGTCTGTTTACAGCGGATTTTAGAAAATTTCGCTCAATTTATTTTCAAGCATTTATCACCCATTCTTATCATTATTTCACGGTTATGTTGCATCTGTGATTACATACCCTTAACGGTAAGCTTGACTGTAGACTTATATAAACTTAATTGTACCGATATATTTATCAGATAGTAATATGGTTTATCAGAATTCTGTACACTACTTAGAAAGGAATCGGTTCGCTAAGTTAAATCTCAGGTGTGATCATACAGGTATGACCTGATTCGAGATTTTATGGTTTTTGAAAGTTGTGAGATCACAAAAATACACTTTAATGACTGCTAAAAATTTTGTCTTTTTTGGATGAAATATAATTTACAGCGAGCAATAGGTCTAATTGGCTTGAAAAATGATTTTCATGTTCATTCTAAGATCATTATCCATGATCATACTAGTTATTTTAGCGACTGAAAAAAGAAAATAGGCAAATTTGTTATTGGTGGATTGGCTTAATTTTCGTTCATTTTAAGGGACAAATACCTTATGTTACAAAATTTATTCAATTTACTTCAAAGCAGGGCAAAAGAATAAAAATGATCTGAAATATAAAAATAGAAATTAGGGAGAGCGAAGTTATTTTACTGAGCATTGTCCTTTATTTGTATTATATCACTTTCGTTTTATTCACCAGTATAATTTTTTTGGAGAAAGAGTTTTTTTTTCATATGAATTTATGTTTCAGGATTGTCCCACTCAGCCATATCAACCGGCGAATAAATTTTCAGCTGTTCAACAACGAATTTCCTACATATGTCGCTCATTGTCGAAAATGGAGCTAAGAGTTGTTTTAGATGCTTTTGATGAAGCCTGCAATACTTTGATAGTTGAACCGGCAAGTTTCTGTTTTTATTTCATCTAACATTTTTTTCATCCTGAAGGCTTATAAAGTCGAATCTGATAAAAAAAAATGAAATCTTTGAAAAATCTATTACATTAGTATGTATTTTCTATCCTGCTTTGCTTTTTCCAGTTTGCTGCTAATTCATCTTCAATCATGGAATATTTTAATTGAAAATTTTACTATTTCAATAAATGTCTTTCAAACCTTTCAATTCGTTGATGAAATTTTATAGAAGCAATATGGGCAGTAATTTATGTATGGATAGTTAGGTTGAAATTATTATCATGAAATTAAATGAAAAAATTGCTAGACAGAGAACATTCGAAGTTATTTTAGAAATTTACTTCAACTTCGTCTTTTATTTTATTATATTTCTAGGCAGCTGTGGGTATACTTTTCAAGATATTTTCGTTGCTTAATGATATTAAAAATAGAGAAATATTGCTAAAATTCGTCGGTCATGTGTGCGATATATATTTCCATGGCCTTGATATACGCCCAAATAATGCGAAATTAGGAGTAAGTTATTTGAATTTATGGATGATTTTCAAATAAAGACTTTTTTCATTGCTTGGAACGTTGCAATTTCATATAAATAGGAAGTTAAGCTAGCAGTTTACAAGAGCTTTCATTTTGCAGAAAAGTGATGCCATCGATAGTGCTGAACTAATGATTATCGATAGCTTTTTGGAGATTATTGATAATTTGTCTGAAAATGAATTCCGGACGGTGACCAAATCCATCCATACGCGTTTACAGGATGCCCTATCACCTAACGCCAAAATAGAAATGCGTTATCGTTCGATCACGACATTTAGATTTTTAAATCGGTAGGTTATTCCTCGAAATATTCCGGAAAAAGAATGCTTTGAAGATGTTTGTGATCACATACTTCTAAACAACTGTATGATGCTATTAGCACTGCATTTCTTATTAAAATTTGAAGTTTGAAGTTTAACATTCTAAATCATTGTTCTCAAGAAGCAGTTGGTATAGTTATTTCACTGATGGAACTTTTTTGCTTTTTTCCTTTTATTTTAATTCATATTATTCATTAAATCTTTAATACGCGCAGTTTTGCTTAGCAAAAATTTGTTTTCATATATTAATTCAGCTTCTATGAATCGTATAAGAATTTATCATTACCACATTTTGGCCGATTTTTTGGTTTCTTGCCGGACATCTTTTCGCGATGCAATTCTTATACAACAGGTATCTTTCTCAGATGTATATATCATTGTGAGTTTCTCAAGTTTGAAGTTTTAAAACCGTAGAATTCTAATTGGCATGCTTCTTTACAGATTCTCAGTCACTGATATTCTACGATGGCGAAGATTCAGCTAACATTGCTGCTATTTCAGTTGATTATTTGTTGACCGTTGTCATTGATTTTATAACGAATTGTGCTCGTCATCCAGCATTTTTCACTTCGTTAGTTTATACTGAACTTTTCTTTCATCTTACCGAAATATCAATAACTGAGAGCTTTCTTACGGATATCATAAATGACTACTTCCATATTTCCTAGAACTATATTTTCATGAATGAGACAGTAGCTATAGGTTTTGATTTTCTCTAAATCAAATTTCACTATAAATTTTCAGAGAACGTGCAAACATCGTGCTAGATTTATTGGTGAATGAATTAGAAAATAAAGATATACCGGGTCATGAGCTTCGTTGCGTACCACATCTAGCTGAATGCTTCTATAATATTATCGATTGCCAAAATGAAGTTCTTATGGATGTAATTAATAAAATCATGTTGAAAACGCGGAGTCGAAGTTCGAAGGTATTGTTTTTGCAGAAAAAAGAAGTAATAAATAATAAGGGTTTCAAAAATATGTTGATTTATTGATCTTCAGGTGCTGAAATGCTAACATTAGCCATTTGCAGGGAGGGTGAGATTTGCTGGACATTTGTTTCTAATGCTTCTGTTTTACTTTGATTCTGATTTACTTTGAAGGTATATAATAGCTTGTAGTGTAATTTATTTATCGCTTTATTAATGCTGTTCCAAATCGTCTTGTATATAATGAATGAAATACGATTATTTTAGATTCGTTATCGTACGTTATTAGTTTTGGAATGGTTATTCGAGCATATGGGTGATGCAGTTGCACCAACGTTACCATCAGTGCTACCATTCCTAAGTGAACTTCTTGAAGGTATATTTTTTAAAAGACATTTAGTAGTAGTAGTGGTGGTGAACTGAAATTCCTTTCCATGATTATATTCTCGATAGATGAGTGTTAATCTTGGGTAACAGTTTTCTATTTTTACTATTGCTTATTTTTTCCGTTCTTCAAATTGTATGTCATATTTTCAGATGACAATCGAAAAGTTGAAATGCAATGTGATGCAGTAATTGGCGTTTTGCGAAAGAATTTTGGCGAAGAAATCACGGAGGGATACGCTTAATTCTATGATTTATATGTTGTTATGTTGTTTTTGTTTATATTTCATTGATGAATTTCGTCTGGGAACGACAGTATTGTAAGTTAGGGCTTTTGGTTTTATTGTCAAAGCATTCTTTCACATTTAATGAATGAAAAGGCAATAATATTTTATTAGAAAACAAACAAATGATAACAGCACAAAATTTTCCAAAAGTAGAATATTTCTAAATGATATCAAGCGAGTTAGTTGCATATATTGCTGTAAATTCAAAGAGAACAAAAACCACTGATTATTCCCTCTCTCACTTTGTTTCATATCATTGTTGATTGTTGTACCATTGTTGATTATGTTGTTTTAAGCTTGAAGTTTTGAAATTACAAAATCATTAAAACTGGTGAACTCTCATCTGAATTTTTGTGTTCTTCTTTTTTCTTTCTTTTTGAACGTAATTCTATTACTCTTTGTGCATTTCACAATTTGTTGCGGAGAAAAGATTTCAAACATTCATGAAGACTATAGCATATGAAAATTTTGCATATTCATTCATATCTCTAATTGTCAGCCGGTGAGGGCATTTAATGAAAAATGAGATTTTTTTATTGAAAAATAAACAAGTGATAACAACATAAATTTTTCCGAAATAAAAAATACTAAATAATAATATCAAGTGAGCTGCAAATAATACCAAGGTTGCTTTCAAATGATATTAAACAAAGTATTGCGGAATCTCATGAATTTCTTAAATTTATCAAAACTTTAAACATGTTTGTTAACTTGCAATATAACGTGTCACTGGTACAATAATAAGTGATGCAATTATTATTAGCAAAATTTGCTATTTTCTTCAGTTCGTTGTTACCAAATATTTAGTTGTTTATGCGATCGATCCTTCATGATCAGTCGATGCAAAAACTAGAAATTATTAATGGAATATGGTTGATCTTTGACTTACACATAATCTCTAAAATTTTTTGCTAAATGACATGGTCACATTATCTACCAGCACTGACGCAATTCAATTTTTTTTTGGATTGTTAAGTGAAAATGAATTTTGTCCATGTGTCTTTTTTATTAATTTGCAGAGAATAATGAGTAATTTCCACGACATATGGCCTTAGTCCGCATGTGTCCGCATGTGAAAAGACAAAAACAGATCATTTACTTGAACATTATTCATTACCTGAGCATAATTATTCAACAGATAAATACTATTTATCCTCCATCTAATTATATTGATCGCTTTTTAGTCCAATTAAAGGGATAATTGCACCATTTTTTTTTGTCTCTAGGTATATTTTGTAGACATAACAAATTTATTTAGTAATGAGCTAAAAAAACATAATTGTCTATTGATATGACGAGTATCAAATGGATCTCTGTTTCATTATACTGAGTTAGTATTCGAGAAAAGAAAAATTTGTTCAACGTGTTAAAGATTAAAGCTGCTTTCTTATGATAAATGAAAAACAACTTTTTGCATATTGAATTTAAGTAAATTAATAATGAACAATTATGATAAGTAAGTTAAAAATGCATCATCTCTCTTCCTTATAATAGCATTTCCTTGTTTAAAACCACTTTGTGATGTCAACTTTTGTTATAAATTATTAGAATATTAGCTCTTTGCATCACAAATTGTTCATTTCAGTTGTGTACGCATTTTTTACTACTTCATGGGATAATAAATAAAGATAAAATAGGAAAAATTCCAATGATAAAATTAAATTATAAATTCGTAGCTGCATTCTGGTGCTTCGAAAACGTTCGATTGCTACGCTCCTTTTCTTATGTTTCCCGAAGAATGCCCAAATTGTGTCTCATTTTCTGGAATGAAAATTTTTACTTGTTTTGTAACGTCAAAAGAAATGATTAGCAGTTCGTCGCAGCTTAACTTTGCGGATGAAATGATATGCTTTTCTGCATATTTTCCATGAATTAGAAAAACAAAGCAATTTGGCCAAGAGTGGATGGAGTATTCATTACTTTGCTAATATTTTCAGTGTTTGTTGATGTATATTGAAGCGTCACTGTCACCATTGTCAACACCTTTTTAAGCAGTTGGTTCTTAGGTCATGGACAGTTACTACATGTTGAGTAAGCGATATGGAAAGAAAGACACAGCATCTAATGAGCGCAAATATTGTATTGTGACTCTGTGGTCACAAATGTTTCGCACAAATTTCATACACATTCTACTTCAGACTGGCATATCTGTTAAAATTCTGCTAAATATGCAAACTAACGAGATTTTATTTGGCAGCTCTTCTTATGATAACGCAGCATCTTCTTGGTATTGAAGAATTTGCCGCAGCACTCGCACTGAGGATGAGCTTGATGCGTCTGTATGTGATCGTAAAATGATGATTTTTGGCCAAATGTTCGCCCACAACCAGGCAATTTGCATTCATAGATGAAGGGTTGACCGTGTGTTTTCCTGTGTGTTAGATATTCTTTGTAATTTTTCGTGGTCAGAGTACATCCCGGGTAATGACAAGTATAATTTTTCTTATCTGAAAAATTCTTATCAAAGCATTTTTTTTTTGCAATCAGTAGTCTATTACACCATTTGGTACCTAAGTAATGTGAGAAATCATAAAAATTTTCAGTTCTATAAAATGATATCACATTATATTTTAAATGGCTTAGGTAACTAGTAGTTGTTTACTTATCTTCTCACATATTCGCTGTGATGAAATCATTTTCGATTCATTATTACTTCTATCTTCAATTTCATGCTGCTGATGAAAATAAAGAACTATAAGAGCAAAGAGTTGTTATGCAATGTGTCATTACCTGTTTCTGCTCCTTTATAGGCATTTCCCCTGTAATCGAGGATATTCAAGTTATCCGAGAAGTGCTTATTGTCGATGTTGCTCTGTTCAGCAATTGCACTTTGGCTAGAAGTGTTGTCTGAGGAAAGAGTAAGTTGGTGAAAATAAATCGGAATGGCACTTTGTTGTGAACCAGGCAAGTGCATATATGTGATAATATCATCGCTGTTGAGATTAAGTGAGGAAGAAGTTTCATTCTGAGCATCTAAATAACTCAAATTACAAGAAGTTGTATTTATCTTTTCATATATCTAAAGCAAAAGTCTCACCACTAATGGAAGCATATCGCACATTATCATCACCCGTTTTTAATTCTTCATTAGCATCTCTCCACAAATTCCTATATGAGTCCATATCTGAGTTAAGTGATAACTCCAAATTAGTGTGGCCGAAGGGATCATAGATATCGGAGAAGCCAGGATGAGGATCATTTGTGATCTGATTAGTTTCAGATTTCCATTCTTCATTGCTTATATCCTCAGTTTCACTCAACTGAGCGAAATCAATGAACTGAGAAGGATCGGATGGAAATTCTGAGCTAAATAATGGCTCAAAATTGAGATAATGGAGAAAACCAAAGGTATCTGAGATGCCAGAATAAGTATTATTTGTAACAACTTCATTAGCAGTGCCGAAATTAGGTAGATGGGAAGTTTCATTATCAGAAGCGATGCAAAGTAGAAGATTTAAACAAATGATGGGTGTCATAAATATATTGAAGAACATAGTGATACACATAATTTTGTGAGATGACAGAAATGCTCAAATGGAAGCTTTTTATTTCAGATTGCTTGGAATTAAAGGCCAAAGGATCAAACAGTTTTTAATCTGCATTGTGAAAAATTAAACACCAAAGATGAAACAGTTTTAAATCCGCATTGTAAAGTTTATAAATGTTCTTTTGAAAACCGAAGGAAGCGCTACAGTAGCGTGTTCTACCATTTCAGTAATACGTGTACACTGAGTGACATCGTAAGAAATGGGATTCTGATGCATTTAATAAAATGGTTTGTTATACATACCACTAATAATATCACTGATAGAACATCATCGGATCACTTGAAATTTGATAATTATTGGTTTTTGAGATACATTTCACATACTGTTAAGAGAGAATTTCAACTTAAGCTAAAACGGTGTTTGATGTTTGAAAAGGTGGAACAAATTTCAAAAGTTTGGTTGATAAAATGGATTTGCATAAAGGAAACTGGTGAATAGCTAGGATTGAATGTCATTGAAATATTTAATCTGTGCAATATTTAACAATCTTGTCTACTTTGTTTAATAAAATATTGTATATTGAGTGGTAAATAAAATATTGAATGAATTATTTGCATGTTGTAGAAATTTTAGGTTTTAATTTTGGTGACATCAATTAACTAACAACTGAATTATATTAGCCTGTTTACTGCTTATATGAGTATTGCTCTATTGGCAATATTGCTACTAATATTTTATCGGATTATTTGATTCAAAAATTTACCGATCATTTCTTTACTTTTTTTTAATATTTATGCATTATTCAACATAATTATAAAATTCTTTTTCACATTAAGAGAATCTCTCATATGTCTTTTTATTTCTATTTCCAGAATCCCAATTTCTAATCTTGATTTAATTGAAACCTATTGTGAATGGCTTGTATTAATCAAATATTTTATTATTGCAACACATTTCATAGCTTCCAGTGATTATTTATGTTTAATACTTCTAATTCGCAGTTTATCTGCTGATCTTCCGGTCATCACAGAAATCTCCGAATATTCAGAACTGGCGCCTTTTTCTTTCGAAATATTTATGCATGTAATTCGAAAATTCCCTGATCGTTGCTTTATTTTCCTTTCTCCGTTCATTTTTTTGATAACTTTCTACTGTGTAATTAGTAAACTTATCGATTTTGATGACTTTCAAAAAATGGTGCATGAGAGTTTACATTTGTTCCTTAGTTTCATTTCATTGTTTGAAATTTGAACTCTACAAAGCTGTTCAAATATTATTTCCATAAGGAAATATGACATTCAAATTCACATTAAAAAACTGAAACTGACTAAATTTTAGCAATTTAAAGATTTCTTAAAGCAGTTCGATTTCTCCATTTGTCTCTTTTTCATATTTTGTTCAATTATTTGTATTTATTATTCCTTCAGTGTGTAAAATGTGTCTTTTCACTCAGTTTTGCATTGCTTAGAG